TATGGAATATTTTCCATACCACTCTGATAAAAAAAGGCTCATGAAAAGTATCTAAGTACCTAGGTATGTATCTACCTAGGTAGGTACTGACATTTTGACATCATTTTTCAATGAAACCAAAACAATAGTTGGTTCGTGTAGCTTACGGTTTAGTCGTGGTCATCGTTTATCAAAACAATTGGAAATCTCAATTTAAAAAAATATAGCCAACAAAAAACTAATTATTTAGAAGAAAACACCCTGTATTCTTTGCAGAAAATGATACACTCACATTAAAAACTTATTTTTTACTAACCTCGATGGTATTTTTTTGGTTGCAGCGAATATAATTTTTAATTACGAATAACTGCCTATCTTAAAATGTTTTGCTAGTATAAATACTTCAGGGTGTTGCAATTAAAACTTTCCACCTGGAAAATATCGGAATTAAAAAAAAACTGAGACACGTCGATTTTCTTTTCAAGAGGGACACCTGATGGCATAAGTTTTGGTGTCTTGGAAACTACCCCTTCGGCAAGTGTGTAAATAAATGGCACCCTATGTTGAGTGACACGTCATTTTAAAGCTTTTTCAATTCTGCTCACGACATACGACTTTTTAAATTTTGGTTTGGATATGACAATAAAATCACCAATTAAAAGAATAAGACAAAATATCAATTATTGAAAGAATGTTTTTAATAAGTGTTCAAACTGGTTTTCCTCCACTTATCTGACGACATTCTCGAACAATTCGACGACGAAGCGTCTCAAGTGAGTTCGCTTGTGTTGCATACATTTTCGACTTAAGTGTCCCCATAGAAAAACGTCTAAAGGCGTTAGATCTGGCGATGTGGGAGGCCACTCAATCGAACCTCTGCGTCATATCCAGTGATTTGAAAAGTTCTGATTAAGAAAATCACGCACGTTACGTTCATAGGACCTGTTCACGTTGATGCTTTCTGTTTGCAACCGATCCAGTTTCCGAAAATTTATGCACTAAATCCAGGACGTACCGATGCGAAGTATTTTTGTCAAGATGAAAAATCTGTGCTGCCTGCAGTGTACAGTCATTATTCTTCTAGAACAAGGGTCGGCAACTGGCGGAACGCGGTCCAGGTCCGGACCGCAGAAGGTAAAATACTGGACCGCTAAAAATTTTTTGAAAGTATAAATTACTCAAATAAATGATTTAAAAAATGTTTTTTACGTTTAAGTGCCAATCTTATCATTTTTTCTAGTATTTTACAATTGTGTGTTTTGAGTTCTTAATGGTTAGTAAGCAGATTAAATTAGAGTCCAAATTAAAATAAAAAATAAGAAATATGAATTTTTTTCTGGACCTCGTTAAAAATTTTCAAAAGTATCCGGACCCCACCTAAAATTACTTGCCGACCCCTGTTCTAGAACAAACTAATTATTTCCACTTTTTCAGCAATTGTATAAACCATCTCCACGAATTGGAATTCTATCGACTTTGTGATGATTTTACGAGATATTGTCTCGACCAGACAAGACGAGACAATATTGTCTCGTTTAAAGTAAAACAGGTAAAAAAGTTGAACTGATAAAGTATGAAGTTTTTGTATGACAGATAAACGTAAAATAAAAACAATTTTTTTTTTCGAGAAATTGCTGAAGAACGTCATCAGATAACGCCCGAAATAGTTCGAAATGTTCATTCGGTAGTGGAGTAAAGATTTATTATTGTATGGAAGCGGAGGGAAATCAATTTGAACACTTAATAAAATAACATTCTTTCAATCATTGATATTTTGTCTTATTCCTTAAGTGATGATTTTATTCAAATTCAAATCGAAATTTAAAAGGTCGTATGTCGTCGTGAGCAGAATTGAAAAAGCTTTAAAATGAGGTGTCACTAAACATAGGCTGTCGTTTAAAGTATGTCATTTAAGGGGTAGTTTCCAAGACACCAAATCTTACGCCATCATGTGTCCCCCTTGAAAAGAAAATCGACGTGTTTCAGGTTTTGTTTTTTTTTTAATTCCTATATTTTCCAGGTGGGAATTTTAATTGGAACACCCTGTATGTACTAAGTTAATTTCCATTTCGTGTGTTTCTTTTTGTTTATTATAAAACCAAATGAGCGTTTCGAATGCAAAGGTAAGTAACAAAAAGTGCGAAAAAAAAAATAGAAATTAAATTATTTTAAAAACAATAGGTGCACAACCGGATACATACACAACAGTCCATATTTCTAATCTTTATCTGCTCCATTATCATAGTTTACTTCAAAGATTAATTTTTAATGGGAGAAAACCTCGAATTATTTACTCACTTGAATTCTTATACAGGTACCTACTGATCGGGCGATAAAACATAAACATTACAAATTAGAATTATCAGAAAAGATTACAATTTGAATTTGCATGTAAAAATTATGCCACCATTCAAAAATATTGCTCTTCCTTAAGTATTACAAAAGTTGTTTTGAAATTACATACCTAAGAGACATTTTAACCTACAAGGGTAGAGACAAAGATATATTTTGTAAAACAATGTGGTTGTGTGTACATGTATGTATGTAGTTGTTTACTACAAAATTAATGGTGTTGTTTGCGGGATTGTAATAGGATAAGGTATTTCTCCAAACTTGTTGATATTGTTAAAAATACCTATAAGTCTGACGCTTTGGAACGTCATTATGTATATCGGTTGTATTCTTGGAAAAAAGGACGGATGTCAAAAAATACATATTCAATTGTTACTAATTGTATGTAGGTATCGAATAAATTATTGTATGTGATTTCATCCTGAACTGTTTCGAATTATATCGTATACAAATTGTGCGAGGCGGGGCGAGTTCATGAAAGTGGTCTACAGTGGTGGGATTTCGTAAATAAAATATGAACTGAACATGTGTATACCAGAAATGTACAGCGCAGTGTAATAATACGTCCAAGGTCAAGAGTAAATTGCCAAAAAATCAGTGCTATTTATTGTGCTCTGCCGTTGTAATACACATTTTCTTCTGTTCATTTTTTTGAATTGATTCACACAGTGATTATAACCAAATGTCGATTTAATCAGACTTATTTAAGACAAAAGATACAGCCGAAAAACTGATTTTACTTTAAAATTGTCACATTACAAAATTTTTCGGTGACCGGAAATAAACATTCTTGTGCTTTTCACACAAATTTTCATTTTATTTATCCCAATAGGTATTACATTATTATACGTATTGATGTAATCGAAAGTAAAACTATCAAGAGCAATTTAAGATATAAGAGGTTAGTCAAAAATAAATGAATGGAAATTTATTTATAATGAAACAAGAAGTTGAACAAATCAAGAAATTTGTAATATGAACCTAGGTATAATGTTACCTGCAAAAAATAGTTTTTTAATTTCAGTTTTTTTGTCAATCTTTTTCAGTTGACGTTCAATTATTTCTCTGGTCGCACCGGGCTCCTGATTTAGCAGAACTTTTTACATTTGAAAATGAATTTTACCTTATTTTTTAGAATCAATTTGGAATTTTATTTCGACAAGTTGCTGATTGCGTGAATTTTTTTTAGAATCGAACAAAAACCTGTTTAGGTTTGGAAATATAATATCGGCTTTTTTTCTAGAAAGAGGGCCTGCGTAGAGCCTACGAATGCCACGAAAAGTGATTAATAGAATTTACTAAGGAAAGCGGTGGAGATTAAAAAAGAGTCAATTGCAACTTAAGCCATAAAAACTTTTGTGTATTTTCTGCAAAAACCTTTACGCCTATGAAATGATATTTTTATGACCTTAAAATAATGAGTAAGTATTAGTTCGAATACGTAACTTATTTAAAATTACTCCAGCTAAAGCTTACCATTCAGATATCAACAATAATTGCTGTAACTTTCTCTGTTGCTGTTCTAACCGATGTTACAAATATATAGTATGATAGTACCAATAACAATAATATTTACAATTAAACAGGCAGGAAACCAGTGCGCTAATGAATAACGTTTCTCATAAATAAGAAAAACTTTCGCTTTGGCTTCTCTTTATTAATTAGAAATTCTGTCTAAACTGAGGTCCTAACTATGTTATTTCAATTTACTCGTGCCTTTATTATAAAATAAAGATACACACAATATACCTACTTTATTAATATCTAAACAATAATTTAGGCATTCGATTCTGTCAAACCCTTTGTACCTACCTATTAGGAATTATAACGGTACGTACCCTACTCTACCGCCCTACTGGTATTAATTTTTCAGTTAATTAAAACTAAATTTAAAATACTATCAAGTAAGGACTATATTTATTCAGAATCTAGTGCATTATCATCAATTTTACTTTTATCAAAGCATAAACCACAAAATGTGGACGTGTTAGGCAGGTATTTGCTCCGGTTACTCGATATCTTGGAACTTGCTTATCTAAACTATTCCACCCCGTACATTGTCGTGGAAATTTATTAATGCGGCATAGCCGCCGTACAACCTATTCAAATGTGGCATATATATTATACCCGCACAATAGCTGCATTTAATTCTTGATGTTAAAACAAACACAGGTGCTGGTCAGCTATTAATGGACCATTATCAAAATGTTAATAAGCCAAATGAACGGTGCTGTAGCGTTAAACAGAACAGTCTCAACCTCAACTCCTCGACTGTTTACATCAACATCATGCCACCTTTATCAGCTTGGAAATTCTCGTTACGGGACAAACACAAATAAAAACAGATTCATCTCCACCACTTTTAGAATCGAAGAGGGACAGGAAAACGGACCGTTGTGCAAAATCATGCACTATTTTTGTTGTTTTGTTCTGTCAAACATTTTGAATCTAGTTATCGATTGTCGTTCTAGGACAATAAAGGATCGCGCTTAGCCACTCAATACCATTTATTTTAATTGTCGTCCCCTGAGTAGGTTCGTTTGACAATGAGATATGTTTATCTGCGATTAATAGACCCGAAATTGTGCTGATTGTATACTGGCACTGTGTTGTTTACGTCGTCATCAGTCTGCCGCGGCGCTGGCATTGTAAAATTATTGTCTACATACCTGGGTCGTTACTTCATTGACTTCTTTCATAATCTTCTCGAAAGCTGCCGTCTCCTCGGCCTGCCGATGATTATGGAGAGCTATTTTTTCACTAAACTTCCTAGGATTCGCCATGATTGCTAAACTGCTCACTGCACTGCGCGGCGGCTCCCGATAAGACGCGCGAGCTTCTAGGGTCGAGGAGTTCAGTCGATATCCTAGTGCTCTTTTTGCGCGGCACCCAATTCACTATTGTTTTAAACTATGAACTAACAGAATAACTTACGCCACGTGAGGACGTCGCACAAGGTCTGCTTGGATTTTGAGCACTTCTATCCTGTCTCCACTATGTAGGAAAACCTTGAACTGCGATGCGGTATGCGGCTGATAACGGACGGCTCGAAATAAGTGAGAGTATTTATACATATAAAAAAATATTAGGTGTTCATCATAAATAAGCCTTAGACGTCTTCCTGTGTTATGCAACCAACTATTCGTCACAGCATCCTACAGAATTTTTGAGGTTTCACAATGCTTCAACTGTTTAAATTATTTTAATTGACGTTTCTTAGAAGTTATAAAAGTGAAAAACGTCAAATATCTGTCGAGGTGTATCATTTAGAAATTCATATCTTAAAATAATATTGTTTCCCATGGTGAAAGTAAAGCAGAAAATTATCGTCACTGCAATTTTTTCAAAAATGGACTCGACACTAATCTGATAGAACTACATTGTGTGACTAGAAATATTAAGTTGTCTATTTAAGTCTTCAAATAGTAGATAAGTAGATACCATTGAAATAATGCGAATATTTTCCTAATCAACTGAATGAAGTATTAAACAAATGTTAAATTTTAAGTTATGGTAGTAATGAAGCCACCACACTGAAGTACAGACAGTGGTAGTGTTTAACACTACTTTTATAAGTTACACTGTATATCTGACAGTATTTATAACTGTTACAAGTTAGTCAATGTGCATTGTGACAAAGTAAGTTATTACAGAATCCTTTGCGAAAAACTTACAAAAGTACATTTTATTGACTTGCAACACTGTATATTTATTACAATCTAAAATATTCGTCATACAAATATCAACAAACGTTGCTTTCTCAGTTTTCAACCTCGTCCTCGATAGGTTTGAAATGATTCAACAAATTGACGGTCCAATCGCCATCCACCCCTTTTGTGAATTCACGGATGAATCTGTAATTGCAAATGGAGATCTTCTGCTGGTACTCGGGCAGCATACCTACGTTCAGTGGGGGCTCTTCTCCCTGAGATCGCATACTTGCCAAACCTTTGAGGGAGTGATAGACCATTGTGATTTCGACAAAACGTTTCTGTTCCTTGCCTTCTTCCTCATTAAATATTATTCCTACCTTAAAAACACACAGATAACTGTTACATAATAGTTGTTTTAAATGATATTTACGCTTATCCAGGAAGCTCATTCTTTATGAATAACCTAAAATTGATCAGAAATTTTTTTACTTACTTGATATGGAAACGAAAAGTATATATCCTCCCTGCTGATTGCTAATTGTTCTCGTTGACTTAATGACATTAAAGAGACTGTCTTCTGTAAGGTGGGAATAATATCTAGTGTTACCAAACCTTCCAATGCTTTTAGGTCTCCTTCTGCCAATTTTTGTGAAACTACCTACAAGAAAAAAAAAACAGTGAAAATCTTTTAAATTTAAGTCAGTGCAAAGGCACTTAATACCTTTGTAACCTTTGTAAGAAGTCATTCTATAAACAGTAATTTTAGTAATGCTACTTCATACCTCCACTGCTTTCTTCGATCCTGTTACGAAATCGGGAAGATTAAATTCTCGATCTAAATAAGGTTTGATAATGAAAGTTGCGAGAATAAAATTTCTTATTGATTTAAGTAAAGAAGGCCACACGATTTTTGGAAAATCAGGCATTAGTTGAGGTAGTTTGTTTGAAGGTGGCCCACATTTTTCTTCAGAAAACCATCTCCTTTGTAGAAAGTAAATAGCTTTTTCATTTTTATCATCAATCAAAAACAACGGATTTGAGGTTATGTTTACAAATGTTGAACACTGGCATACTGTAGAACCTAATTTATGTTCTAAACTATTTTTTAATAACACAGTCTTTAATAATTTGGTATATTTACAATAATTTCGAAAAATATTTTTACTCGCTAGATTAACGTTCATTTTAAAAACAAACATAACATTTCCAATTTCTAAAATTATGACTTTCTGCTTTTTTGCTTTTTTTTACAAGCGACGTTACCAACACTACATGCTACCAAGGTTGCCAACTCATATCAATCATAATTCACAATTACCTATGAATTCTTAGTTGAGAGCATAAATTTACAGTTAGTCTATTATTATATTTAATATTCGCCCTATTTTGGGACACATTAAAACCGCCTTATAAATATCCCAGAGTAAATTAGAAAACAGAGACTAAATTTGCGCGCACTTTAGAGTATATACTACGCGCGCACGGTGTACAGTGAACGCGCCCTTTGTCACTTCCCCTTCAAACTTGAAACATCCTATAGGTATAAATGTCAAATTGATAGTTTTTAGTACTTTAAATGAAAACACTTTTTATTTACATTTACATTTCTCCGCGAATAAAAATAGATACTTTTGTTAAAATTGTATAAAAATACATTTATCCATTATTTACTGCGCATGCGTTGATCTGATCTCCATCGACCAGCTGTTTTTACTAAATTGTCTGAGAAAACAGAACTGAGAGGGCAGGCAACCAACAGACGGATAAATCGTAAGGGAGTGTAGCGAGTGGCAGTGCGAAGGTCTCTTTGTTTTTGTTCAAATAAGTAATCCCTTTAGTTTCTGCACGATCATTTGCAAATGTTGAAACAAACCAGTGATTAACTTCTGTATAAAATAAACGTCTATCGGCAGTTTTCAGTGCATCATATCAAGTTTATTTTGGTTATCCTGGATGAATGGCGTCTTGGCCAACTCGCCCATAAAATAAGCAGTTCTTTCTTTCCCTTAAAATTCAGTGGACAATCGTAGTGATTGTGAGAAGTAATGGCAAATACCAAATCGACGAGTAGTGCCCTAAGAGCATTAGCTGTAGAGTATAAGAGTTTACAAGAGGAACCCGTGGAGGGTTTTTGTGTGAAGCTCGTGAACGAGGACAATCTTTTTGAATGGGAAGTAGCTATTTTTGGGCCTCCCGATACATTGTACATGGGCGGTTGTTTTAAGGTAAGTTTTTTTTTAGATCTCATTACAAACAAAAAGCTGCTGACTTTATGCCTTTGAAGTTTAAATATTTTGGATAAGTTGTAGGAATTTTGCTAATAATGGTATGCCCAGAAAATATCGAAATATTTGTATAATTCTAATTGTACTATATTGTACAAATCACAATGTACCCCACATTGTGATTTGTAGGTATATCTATAGTGTATCGACCTACCTAACTACGATACCTACCTGCGATCGGGATTCGAGCAATTATAAATGGACGACACGAGCTTAATACCTGGAAATCCAGCTAAATATCATATTGAGAAATAATAGAGAAAAATTAACAATTATTTAAAATGTAATGTAATTATTTAGGTTACTTAATGCAAATCAGAGAAACCTCATGTTCAGTTAGTAAAAGTGTAAAAGAAACATAATAGTTTACCGTTTTTAGATTAACTTGTTAATTACAATAGAAAAGTCTATGGAAAGTAACACATAAAAACTAAGAAAGGATTTATTTAATATTTTATTCACCTGTATAAGGTGAATCAGTAATAAGGTCAGTAAGTCAAAATTTATATTTCCAATATTACAGATGCGTTCTTCGTTCTGTCAGAAATATTGATAGCTATCTAGATAATATCATTTTTGAGTTAAAATCCTACCTATAGGTGATTCTGAAATTCAAGAAATGTAAATGCCTATATAGAAATCTACTTTCGAACCTACCAATCCCTCTCGAAATAAAATATATTATTGCCCCGTCCTGTATACTGCTAATATGTACCATTGGGAAGTTGATTAGTTGAGCAGTACGAAACAATTCTTTTGTCTTGTAGGTACCTATTTTAGAGTCAAGTTTAAAGGTAATTACTTACTGTTTTTTAGTATCACAAACCTTTCACATAGAAAGATGAAGACACGTTTGCTGAACAAGTAGGCAAGAACCTATTGTGAAATGGAACGCCGATGAGCCGTTTCACATTGTTCTAGCAGTTATTTAAGTTGTAAAATAATTGGTTAATATTTATTTCAACATACTGGTCTTCGGAATACGTAGATATATACCTATAGTTCTTTTCGGAAACGCCTTTATATATAACTATAAAATACAGGTTTACATATTTAATTTTTCTTATACGCATTTATTTTGGATAATATTTTTGGATAATTTTTTAAAAGTAACTTACAGCGTAAGGAAACTAGAAAATTTTTAAGTTAATCGATCATGGGTATTTCCATTACCTGACTTATGTTTTAGTAATTAGGTAAAAAATTGGGTCGCGAATAATGTGACGTTCCGTTTTTGTTAACGATGACTTTCCTTTGTAGAATTTTGTGAGTTACATTAACTGCTGTTGTAAAATATTTCTGCACTTTCGCTTGATAGGCTAAACACAGTCGCACTTTCGAGTACGTTGCGGTTTCCTGAAAAGATATTTTTTGTTTCTTCAAGGCTTACGCGATCTTTGTGCGAGTGTCGAAACCTTGGCCGGGGAAATAAACGTATTACCTGGCGTAATAAGGCTTTGTTTTTAGATAGGAAGTCTGTCATGAAGGAACTACAAAACTGATTTTTTGTGTGACGTTCGATGTTAGGAACATCGTTCTTTTAACGTTTAGCAATATTAGGCACACAATGGCGATGTAGGTACCTAATTATTTAATTGTATCTCTATGTTAAAGATTTTTATTGTTTTTGAAAATGGGATTGCGTTTTGCATTAGGCGTAAGGTTATACGAATGTGTAAATAAGATTTTATCGCACTAGTTTTTGTTAATTCAAAGGCTTGAAACAAGGAGTGGATTAGTAAATCCCGAGTCTGCTTGTGGCTTGTGTATTTTTAGGTGGAATGCCAGATATGCGTTAAATGTGTGTCGCCGGTGTATTTAAATGTTTTGATAAAAGTTGTACCTATCTACTACTTTCACAGAAGAGTTGGATGTTAGAAAAAAGGGGACCCTATATTTTCATCGCTCCCCCCTCTTTTCGAATGATACTTTTTAAAAACAATTATTTTTCACCGCTTTTTCTTATACAAATAATCTTGTATTCTTGTTCCAGGCGAGGATGAAATTTCCAACAGACTATCCGTATTCACCACCGTCAATTAGGTTTTTAACAAAAGTTTGGCACCCAAACGTCTACGAGGTGAGTGTTTTTAATTTATTTATGTTTACCTATTTAAAAAACGGCACGACGATGAGACAGATAGTTACCAAACGGTTAGATCACACTCCTGTCGAAACTAATTAAGGTTGCACTTTGCACCACAGCTGTAAGTGATTGTATAAATGATATAATGTACAGCTTTTTTCGTAAAATTCAAGATGATTCACGTAGAATGTAAGAGCCCAAGAGAAAAAGTTCACACCTCTTTAATAATAGTGATGGAACATTTGAAATGATAGTCCGTAATAACAGAGAAATCACTTTTTGTGCTGTCTATTGATCCCCACTGACGTCACGACAGTGAAACGCTACATTTTATAATTGATTCGACATTTACATGACGAAATTGCCTTTGCCTTGGAAACAATTAAAGCTTATCGGCGATTGGTCATTTACGGGGTGTTACATTAAATCGCAGTACCTACAATAAAATCAAGAACGAGGCAGCGTTTTATAAGTTTATGAAATGAACCCAGCGCGTTGTTGAGAAATGAAATGGCAGGAAATGTCTACAAAAAGGAAAATAAGTGTCGGTGAAAAACACTTGTTTGTTACTGAAATTTACCATTTAAGACTTATTAACAAAACTTTACAGTATATTTTGATGCCAGTAGATTGACCCGAAATACTAACATTTTTTTAATATACGTAAATTGATTGTGAGCAAGTATCCCATCTTTCCCCTATATATTTTTTTATGTTAACTATTGTCACAGACGCCTGGCCTGCTGTGATTTTTATATGATTGTATTTTTCGTAAAAACACGTTAAAGACTTTTTTATGAAAAAAGTAACGAGAAAAATTATTTATTGGTTATTTTTCTACAAGCCGACGACTTTAAGAAAATGCTAAATAGAATTTTTGGGGCTCGCGTCTAGGATGCTATGATATCAAAAACAGTTGGCTGGAGTGACAATAAAAAATTAAATATAAGTAACTGTATATATTTTCTGTTACTGAATAACTATTTTTCATTTCATAGCTAATATGTATCTATTTTTTTCTTCAAATGTTTTACAAAACTATTTTTTGAGGGGCGTAGAATATCCTACGGTGTTTTGTTTTTGATTACATTTCATCGTAGACGTACACCACGGCCTTCTTCAACTAGACGGCCGTGCGAACACCATAAAGTTCGAAAAAAATAACCAATCGATTTCTTAAATTTATATCCATCTATATGGGGCGACGCTCAATAAATCCTGTTTTTTTTTTTTAAATAAAGGTATTCCCAAATTTCTGAAAAACCCACCCAAATAAAAAATGAGATCCATGTATTCTAACAAAAATCTGGCCATAAATTATTCATTTTCAACAAAAAATCCGATGACATCAGCATAGAACATGAATTTTCAATATTTGGGTATTTTAGTTTACAGAAACTTATTTTTTTTTATTGGAAGAACTATTATATTTTTTATTTTATTATTTTAAGTCGACGGCGACGTAGGTTCGTTGATTATGGCCAAACATCTTTTTTGTTTGTTTTTTAATTAAATAGCCAGATATAATATGTCGCGCCTTATTTGCATTATAAATTTGAATCATATTTATTTTATAGTAAATATAATGGAACTGGGAGGTGTCGCTGTCTGTATAGCAAGCAATTGAGATAATTTTCGACTGTTTATAAGTACGTACATGTAATCGCAGCTATACAATACATATTTATTCATTTATAGCTGGCAATAATGACTAGTAGTATAGAAGGCTTCGCTATCGATTCGGAAAATCGAAAAAAATGTCCATCTATCTGATATCTTCTTTCAACAGTCTCTTGATTCGTATACCTGTATGCTTCTTCATAATATAACACGAAAACACAGGACTACACTGTATTTATTTATTTATTTATTTATTTATTTATTTCAATTCATGTCAATACACACCAGAGTTTTTACACACGTCAAAAGAAAAGGAAAAGGACATAACTTAGTATGCTGAGATTACTTACTATATAAAAATATACAAAGATAGGTAAAATCAATATAAAATAGTTACAGACTAACAACATCATTAAAAATACTACAAACATACAAAACAATACATGTAGATAGGTACAGATGATAAGAACTAACATATAGTTAAAACTAACAAATTAAATATTGTGCAAGTCACTTGATAAAAACTGATTAAAATCATAAAAAGCGTTTCTCAATAAATAATTCTAAATTCTTCATTTTTTTTTTTAAAGTAAATTCTTCATTCTTTTTTTAAAAGTATTTATATTTAAAATCCTTACATAATCAGGGAGAGCTTTATAGAATTTTAAACCCCAATATCCTGTACCATTTCGTGTTCTAGTTAGTCTTACATGTTTATTTGAGAGGTAGTTCCTATTGCGGGTATTATGGTTATATGCGGTTATTGTTGCGGGGGTGGTAGTCCTGTAGTCAGGGGGCCCAATTGCCTCCTTCATTTAGATGTAGTTATTCAAGTGTTTTTTGTGTATTTTGAGCTGCAGAACACGAATTTTTTGGGTAGAAGTTTGCACGGATGTCGATAAGTTTTTTATTAACAAAAAACTTGCAAAATACTGAGAACTTAGTTTTTGGCAAAATAAAAAGTATTTTCTTGTTATTTGACCCATTTTAAGAAGAAAATGTCTCTTGCATTTTTTTTGTTAAACGCATAGTTTAATCGAAAATTCAATTTTTGCGATTTTCAGTTGTTAATAACTTTTGATTGAATAGGTATTTTGTAATTCTGATGACTGCGTTTGAAAGTTCACGTTAAATACTACAAATTATGAGTAATTGCAGTGTGAAAATTTGTTTTTTTCCACTGTTATTTGAAGCCATAAACAAATAGCGATTGAGCGTTCAGAAGGGTGCGTCGCCATGTATGTAAGAGAGCGGTTGCCTTCTTATAGGCGTTTAATACACGATCTTGACGCGTACTCTTCATTTCTAGACCAAAGAAACGATGAAAACTGAACGAAACATTAACAATTTAATGAAAATATTACAATAATTAAAATTAAAATTTTTGTGACAAATAATGCAGATCTGATTTAATTAAGCTATTTATCTTGTAACATGAACGTTAATAATTCTACATCTTCAGTGTAATTTTGAAGCGCGACTACAAACAAATTTTAAAAATAAATGAAAATCGTTTAAAACAAAATGGATTAAAAAGGCGTGGAAAATTTGAAATATCCAAGATATAATGTTTGCATGGTTAATTCTAATTTGCTTTGTAAACATTATTATACGATATATATGAAAAAATTAGCGAAATTATATTAGTTTTATTAATAAACGATAATAAAAAAATTATAATATATAATAATTTTAATTATTGTTCTTCTTTTTTCCATATCTCCTTAATCAAGGCTGAAATATTTCGAAAACTAATCATGTTAGCCTTGATTTTTTAGAGGCATAATGTCGGTGCCCTGATTACGCAACTTTTTCCTACATTTAAGCTAGTTTGTATCTCTTACCGTTTCCGAGATCCCTGTAATGAGAAGCGAATTTAAAAAAATATTTTGTCAATCAAATTAGTATTTTTATTTATATTTTTATTATGCATCCGTACCAATATTAGTTAATATTTAATAAATCATGTAAAAAAATATTTTTTAAAAAGCAATAGAATAATTGGTTGAGATATTTAATTGGTATCAAAAAAATATGGTGACTTTAAAATAAGCCATACAGAAGCAATCTGTTTTATTAAATTATTATTATTAATTTTCCATTGTCTCTAACAGTTGTTTTAAAAAGTCACGACTGGTAACGCTGATAATGCACTGATATAATTTACCACATTAATTTCGGGTGGCTCGATTTACGCCGCCCAGTGGCGGTGCAAACAAGAATTATGGTGTATTTAAAAAACTTATTATAGACTTGACTATTTATCTGATTAAAAAAAAAAAACAGGATTTCAGATTCGGATTCAGAGGAACACGTACTATTACGTTTAAAAAACTGATCCCCACGTAAAGTTACACCCTGTATAATAATTTGATTTCTTTGTGTTCGCGAACACGATTTTACATTCAAAATTTGATCCACTTGTTGAATCGTATCATGTAAGCTATTATCTCGAAGACTGAGATTCTGCTAGTTTACACGATATGAAGCCCGCCACTGGTCGTGCCCTAGTTATCACATTAATCGTTCGGGCATTTGAAACCCATTCGAGCTTTTCACACTCGACCGGCCAGCCGAGAGGAGTTGAAAAGTGAAAATGCTGTCGTTTTTGTAGGCAGGTAGGAACTATTACAGTGCAGCCTCTGCGTAATAAATACATTAAGTCAAGCGTTAAGTTAATCGAATCATTCGATTTTATTTGCTCTAAATAACTTTTTTGCAAAATAGTGTTGCATAATAATCCAAAATCGGAGGTTAATATTATTCACGGTAATGATGTTTGTGTCTCTGCCTAATAAAATTACATCGTACTTGATATCCATATCTACTACTAATACTAATTAAAACATTTCAGTTCCAGTAATTGTGATAATAATTTTCAGTCATATCATTGCTTAGAAAACTGTATATTTATTTCTCATTATTGTAGGTATACCTACAACTCCAGTCGACATAGATCATAAAACCTGAAAATTTTAAAAAATTAGTAGACATTTATTACACTTTATGACGGGAAAGGGTATGTAGAATGATATCAAAAAATAACCAGAAAAAGAATTGACGCCAAGTCGGCAAATTGCAAATGCCCACGAAAATCTAGATGACCTATCGGAATTTTGATATTCCACATACCCTTCCCCCTCATGAAGTGCAACAAAAAATTTACTAATAAGTTTTTCACGTTCAAACTCTAATTCGACTGGAGTATTCTGACATGCATGGAAATAATCTGTTTATTTCAGTTTAAAGTAAAGTAGGATGCTGTTAAAGTTGGTATTGTAATCGACCAAATTTATTAGGGCTAAAATTAACCCCACTTCCACAATTAACAATCTAATTCATCCCACAGATGACTCGTGAGCTGATGATAAATA